TATACTTTAATAATAACAATTCACATTTGCCTGGTCCCTTATGCTTTATAAACATTTAAAAAAATTAATTTAATTTTGTCTTCAAAACAGCTTTGAGGGGAATGAGCTATCTACTCCTAGTCCTGTGACCTTGGGTTCTGTGGGTTTGTTTCCTCATCATTAAAGTGAAACAGTTGTCTGGCTAGTAAAATGGAAAGATCACGACTCTAGAGGCAGAGGACCTGGCCAAATCAATCACCAGCAAGCACTGGGGATTCATGTAACCTTGGGTAAATCATCTCTTCTCCCTAAGCCTCTGTTTTCTCACCTGTAAAATGAGCAGTTTGGGCTTGATAGCTTCCCAGATCCATTCTAGCCCTGGATCTTTGAACTTCTGACTAAATGATCTCTAATTTGCCTTCCAATTCCTTATAATTAATAATAATTCATATTTCTCTCACATTTTCCTCAAACCTCTGGATTCAGAGGACCTGGGTTCAAAGACCTTTTCTGATCCTTACTACCTATTTGACCTTAGGAAGTCACCTGACCTCTCTGGGCTTCAGTTTCTTGATTTATAAATAGAAGGGGTTATAGATCACTACCCTGCCAACTCCCTAAACCTACAATTCCAGGGCTCTTTATCTTACACCATTGCTGGCTTTTGTATTCCTCCCTAAGAAGATACTCAGTGGGGGAGAAAAATACTACCACCAAATGTACCAAATAAAAACTGAGAGCCTGTCCCCACTAACATCCCTTGCTTCTACCTTCACATGATTTTCCTAATGATTTAGAAAACAAAAGAATTTCACTTTATGTGAAAAAATGGTAAAGACAGGTCTGGTGATCTAGGATTGAAGGACAATCACTGGGGAAGAAATGAGAATGGGGGGATATTTCTCTGGCTGGTTCCTGGGCATCATCAATGATTTTCTACCTGTGAAAGTTGTTAAATTCATTAGAATGGAATTGGTTTGAGGTGAAAAGCGATGAAATTTATTAAAAAGGGCAAATAAATAGAGTTTACCATTAGGTTTCTCTGAAGAGTCTCCTCTCCATGGTGGTATAGCTAGCTTCCTGAAAACAGCTGGCTTCTGCTGAATATTTGCTCTCTTTTTAATTGCTCTTTGCCAGTACTTTCCCTGTGAGGAGGCCCCAGCATGGGAGCTGGCACTGAAGCCTGGCCTTGAGAGGAAGTTACTCTGCTTTCTGCGTGATCACAGACCAGTGCTAGAAGGCATAGGAGCTGAAGGGTAGCTGCAGAATCCTCCTTTCTAACCTCTACCCCCCCCCAAAAATAGATGGAATGCTGATGTACCAGAGTGTATAGATGGAAAAATGAATACGCAGAGCCCAACAGGGAGATAAAATAACCTAGCTAAGTTTTCAAGATGCTGAGAAAATTAAGAGAAAGGGAGGGAGGGAGAGAGAGAGAGAGGAGAGAGAGAAAAAGATAGAGATTGAGAAAGGGGGGAAAGAGGGAGGGAGAGAGATGTAGAGGGAAAGAAAATATGGAGAAAGGGAGGGAAAGAAGGAAAAGAGAAAGGGAGAGAGGAGAAACAAAGGGAGGTTGAGATTGAGAGGGGGGAGAAGGAGAGAGGGAGAGAGAGAAATGGAAGAAGAAAGGAAAGGAGGTAGAGAGATTGAGAGAGGAGGGAAGAAGGGAAGGAGAGAAAGAAGAAAGGGAGAAAGGAAGAGAGGAGAAAGGAAGGGAGGGAGAGAGAGAGAATGAGACCATGTACTCTAAAGGATTTTACAATGTACTGAAAGTTTATACCATCTTGCCTCTCCCAAAAGTATTTCACTTATTCACATGGCACACTACCTGAAATTCCATGACCACAGAGATTCATCCCTCTTTTATAAGACAAATATCAGAAGGTATTACATATTAAGCTATTTTCAGTCAGTTCATGTCAGCTGAATGACTATAGGACCACAGATTAAAAGCAAGAAGGTACCTGCTTGAATGGTCATCTACTCAAAAGCCCCAAATCCTTATTTTACAGATGAGGAAACTAAGGAACAGAGGGATGAAGTGACTTGCCCAAGGTTCCATAGATGTCAGAACTGGGATTTGAACTGGGGTCTTCTGACTCCTAATCAAGCATAATTTACACAAAACAAACCTGTTTCTTATATGATGAGGAGATATTTATTTGGGGAGGGATGAGGGAAAAGGAAGGAAGAAATAATTTAATAATTTTGATATACAAGTCACTACAAGAAGACTTTAACACAACAAGATCATTTGACTTCTGCCTAAGAGGGAGAGTGGGAGGAGACAGTGTCCAGAAGGGGACCACAGAAGATAAACTCTCTAACTTGCAATTTTGTGTAGGTCAACATGGTCCAGTGAGAAGAATACTAATCTAGTCAGGAAATCTAGGTTCTGCTATTAACCAACTAACTGTGGGATCTGAGGTAAGATCCTTGTGAGCCTCAGTTTTCTGTTTCTCAAATTGAGGGAATTAGACTGTATCATTTCTCAAATTCTCTTCCAACTCTAGCATTCTAAGAAAGATAAATTCCTAAATCCTTTCACCATTTGAATCCAAAGATATTATTTTTTGGATTGGCCAAGATAATTCAACTTGACAGTTGGTATATTTTTACAAGTGGTGTCAACAGGACACTCTTCTAATTTGAGATCCCATCTCCAGTTCTGACACTGACTATCGTGTAGTGTGCCATGGTTGAAAGACTTTAGAATCAGATGTCCTGGGTTTGACTCATCCCCACTCCTTAGTTCTAATGTTTTTCCTCTATTAATTATTTCCTATTTATCTTGTATACAGCTTGTTTGTACATAATTGTTTGCTTGTTGTCTAGATTGCGAGCTCCTTGAGGGCAGAGTCTGTTTTTTTGCCTTTCTATCTTTAGCACATAGCAAGGTCCATGGCCCACAGGAGGTGCTTAATAAGCTTACTGATTGACTTCCTGAATCTCACTTCTACCACACATTACCTGTGTGATGCTAGACAAATCAATTAAGCTTCCTGGCCTTCAGTTTTTTCAGATGCAAGATGAGGAAGTTGGGCTTTACTATATATAAAGTCCCATATACCACTCAATCCATGATCTTATGATTCATGTGTTATTGGTGTTTCCTGGCTCGAAGGACCATCATAGTTCAAAACCAGAAATAATACGTTGTCTTTAATCATTCAATCCAAAGGTGAACTAATGAAAAATGAGAGAGAAAAAAAATAACTCCATGATGCTTGCAAATACCCTAGGGGGTCTAGTCAACTAGTGATAGTTAATCATTTTAGAAATTCATTTTTTTCCTTTGTTTGCAGTTTTACATTTCATTTTACCTCTTCTATCCCATAGCTAGCCTTCCCCTAACCATCCAAGCAAAATCAAATCAACACACAACACACACACACACACACACACACACACACACACACACACACACACATACCCCCTAAGAATTTAGCTGTTAATTTAAAACAATGGAAAATATATGGATGATTTTAAGAGTTTACTTAATTATAGACAGCTGGTTATAAGTAGTTAATTCAGCATTTAATATGTTAATCTTATGAGTAAGTGTTTTGGCAATGAAAGAATCTGATTCAGTAAGTTTTAAATTTACTTATCTTGACTACTAAATTTCAGTTACCTATAACTTAGATCTCTAGTCATTTGGGTCCCAAAAGTGTTTTTGGTTCTAGCCTTCCTTACTTCACACTTGTCCATTAAGGAGCTACCTTCTTTTTCTGCCCAACTTGGACATACACCTAGCTCTGTGACCTGAAAGAGAAACTCATAGAGTACAAGATCCACTAGATACCCAGATCATGCCTCAGACACTGGTGGAATCTGACATATTATGCAATTAGTTTGGTCTGACTACACTCAATTTGTTAATTAAATAGTGATTGGTAAATTTATCATCATTAAGAGCTGCCATCACATCTTGGAAATCATAGGTCACTTTTTGTTTAATATTTAATTTTTTCTGGCAAACTAGAATGCCAGTATGGGAACAAAATCCACAAAGCTTTCACTGGTTCTTTAGCCTTCATTTAACAACAGGGAAGTTGTCTATCCAAAATTTGTGTTTGTATGGTTGAGCAGTGGGGGTGGAGGAAGGCCCTATAAGTGATCTGGTTTGAATAAGCTGTGATTTTCATTTTCCTTCTGTAAGATTTACAGTGGAGTTCATTGAACATTAAAGCATATTTTCAAAGTTTTTGCAAGGATGTGGACAGGGTTATGAAAATACTTCCCATTTCATTTTAGGTGAATGGAAACTTTTTGAGATTGTAGATGTAAAGATACTTTTAAAGAGTCAAACATTTATAGAAGATGCTCCTAAAAAATGAATCAACCCTCACTTTTATTATTCTTTAGTCTACTTAAAGGTCTTAAGAACAGACTAAGAATTGCTCAGGTTTCTAGTTATCTTTATTATTATTATTATTATTGTTATTATTATTTACCATGAGGTTGATTAGCTTGAGGTCCTTGCAAAGGAATTCAGGCATTACATTCTGTGAAGAAATTTGCTGCAAATAATAAAGCTACATAAAGCAGGAAGCTGAAAAAAAAGTCTAAGGTATTGTACTATGCCTCACATTCAAAGAAAACAGCATATATTTGATTGAAGAAAAAAATGAAACAATAATAATAAACACTCAATTTTTTTTAAAAAGGCAAAAAAAAATCATCCAAACTTCCTATCAATATTGTTTAAGCTTTTCATTTGTAAGAATTTAATGAGCCTAGCTTAATATCCCCTTTTACAATAAAAGAGCCAATCTACATTAATCTCTGTGTGTGTGTATGTGTGTGTGTGTGTGTGTGTGTGTGTGTGTGTGTGTGTGTATAAAACTGTAAAGTGGTCACAAAGAAACATGCATAAATAGAGTTACAGTCCAGAAATTACCAGCTAGAAAGCAGACCTGCAAATAGACAACCTCAATCTTTGTGGTTTACCACAAATAGCAAAAGAGTTGAACAATCAGAAACCCCCTGAGATCTCTAAACGCAGCCGAGTTACTTACTAGAGTGTCTGGCGTGGAAAGCCTGGTGGTGTTCAGTCCCACTAAGGATGGGAGAGTTTGGGACATCCAGTTAGAGATCATGGCCATGGTGCTGAGGACAGCACCCAGCTTCAGCAGTGGAGGACTCATGGCTGTGGAGCTAATGAGTTTTCATAGTGACTGATTATGATCCTGGAGCGGGGCTGGCAGTGAGAGGCGTGACTGCAGCACTCCACATCTCCAGAATGAAAACAGATTCACTTTCCCAGATCTAATCACCCGGGAAAACACGCCCCCTCACCCCCTAGTAGAGTAGATAGCTCCCTCCCTTTCCTAAAAGAAATTTGACTTGACCACCAAACCCCTCTTAATATAGGCTGGTAATTATCAACACTTGGGTGCAGGGAGGAGAAAAAAAAATTCCCCCATGCTGTACTATATACTCAGTTACCAGCAACAGAGTATGTCCACACTGGGGGTTATATGAATATAATCAGCTGCTCTTTACCCTTTTAAAAAAATGCACCTTTGTGGAAGACTGCCAAAGTGCACATTTCATGCTGCAAACTTAATATCTACATTTTGTCTTTGGGGACATAACAAAGAGCTTTTAGGCAGAGCACAAAAACAAAAGCTGAAAAATATCTAGGGTAGGAGGATGTAGATATTATCTATGTATAGATAGTTTTTTTATGAGAATGTAAACTTCCTGCAGCTTTTCCTCTTTTTATTCTTGACAGACAAAGATGAATATAATAAAATTCAATGCTGATTGGTTAATTGTTCTAGCTATGTAAATTGTTTATTTATATAATACTAGCAAAAATAATAGCTGTGTATAGGTTGCTCTAAAGAATGGTGACCCCTGATTAAATATGCATTTTCTTTGGAAAAGGCACCCTAAATTGTTTAATTTGTGTAGTGTCAAGTAATTTATGCCATTCAAATTCAATTTCAATTAATCAAGCGCCAAGCATTTATTAAGTGCCTACTACAAGCCAGGCACAATGGTAAGAGCTTGGACTACAAAGAAATGAAATTCTTTCCTCTCAAGGACCTTATAGTCTACAGGGGGAGATGATATATGTGTGTATATAAGTATGCACAAAGTATATAAGTATATACAAAGTAAATATGTGGTTATTTTTTTATGGGAAAGGGTCACTAGCAGCTGAATGATGATGAGGAAAAATTTTATATGGGAGATAGCATTTGGACTACCCTTTGGAGAAAAATGGAGATTTAAAAGTCAGAGATGAATGAGTTCCTATGAGATAACACTTGTAAAGTGTTTAGCATGGTACTGGGAACATTTTGTTATGGTATTTCAGTTGTTTCAGTCTTCTATTCTTTGTAACCCCATTTGGGGTTTTCTTGGCAAAGATACTGGAGTGGTTTGCTATTTCTTTCTCTAGATCATTTTACAAATGAGGAAACTGAGGCCAATAGGGTTGCATGCTTGCCCAGGGTCACACAGCTAGTAAGTGTCTCAGGCCAGACTTGAACTAATGTCTTCCTGACTCTAAGGTCGGGTGGTGTGTTCACTGTGCCACCTAACTGCCTCTTTAGCGTATAGTAGGCCCTATGTAACTGCTTATTCCCTTCCTTCTTGCAAGTATGAGGGAAAACCTATGCAAATTCCTAAAGATGGAAAGAGGCAAAGTGAGAGGTGAAGTATCAGGAAAAAACAAGACACGTACTTTGGCTAGACTAAAGTATGCCTGGAGGGGGTTAACATATAACATGATCGGTAGATTGGGGTCAGTTTGTGAAAGACTTAAAATTCCAAACTGAAAAGTTTATATTTTTATCCTAGAGCTAATAGGGAAATACTGAAGTTTACAGAGAAGCAGCATGATGCAGTGGATAGATCCCTGAATTTGGAATCCAGAGACAAGTGGGTTCCTGGCTTAGACATTTACTTTGTAATTTGGGGCAAGTCACTTAACATCTTAAAGTCTGTTTCCTCATTAGTAAAATTAAGACATTAGACTAGATTAAGGATCTCAAACATCTCTCCCAGGTATAAATTCCTATAATCTATTTCATAGGATTCAGTTCATAGGAACCTAGATTTACAACTGAAGGGTCTTAGAGATCATGTAATCCATCCCCTCTCATTTTACAGATAAGGAAACTGAGGCACAGATAGGTTAAGTGGTTTATCCAAAATCACACAGGTAATTGAGCAACTTTGTAGCACATAGATAGTTGGGAGTCAGGAAGATTCATCTTCCTGAGTTCAAATCTGGCCTTACATACTTACCAGCTGTGTAACCCTGGGTAATTCACTTCACCCTGTTTGACTCAGTTTCCTCATTTATAAAATGAGCTGGAGAAGGAAATGGGAAATCCTTCTAGTATCTCTGCCTAGGAAACCCCAAATGGAGTCACAAAGAATTGGACACGACTGAAAATGACTGAACAACACATAGGTAATATATAGTAGAACGAGGATCCGAACTCGGATTTCTAACTTCAGAAATCTAATACTCCTCCTATCATGCCACATCCTTTAATTGAATAGCGTGATTGGTATATTAGGAACAATGTTGCCAAAAATATGTCATTAAGGCCAAAGCTTGGGCCCCCAATAAAAGCAATTGTATGCCATTTCCCTCTATATGAAATGTATATTTTTAATAAGAATTCAAATCGAGTACAAAGCATGTAGAAATGGTATTCATATGGAAAGGAACCTGGTTACAAGAAGAGAGAATATTGTTTTCGTCCCAAAGGAATACGCGGGAACTGTTTGTTTCAGGATTTTGTTGCCAAAGATTTTTTCTTAAGCAGCTCTGGCAGGAGATATGGACAGAAATCTGATGAAATTGAAAGGGATACGTATTTATAGACATGTAGGTGCCCCTGACTTCCATAAACAGAATTAAGCTAGGGTGACTACTGAAATACTTTCAAATCCTCCCCACTTCTACTCAGAATCTAGGATACATCAAACAAAAATCTCCAAAAACATGTTAAACTGAATTCAAATGTTCTATTTTTATTTTAAAGCAAAGATGGAAAGAAAGCCAATTAATGATCCTTTCCCCTCAAAAATTTAAGAAACACAGAACTCAGGAAAGATGATAGTATAGTCTGATAAGTCTCCTAGACCTTGAAACAAGTAACAGTGCTTTCTTAGAGCTAAATAATGTTTCATTTGTATCCCAGTGAGTTGACAGCTAAGTCAAAAATGAGTTTCAGAGCCGGAGTGATTAAAGATTACACTTGAAGCTCTACCTGACAATAAAAGGAAAAAAAAAGTCTTTTTGAAAGCTTAATTTCAAAAATTGCAAATGAATACACAAAATAATTACTGGATAATTTAAGATGCAACAAGGCAGATGGCAATTACACTTATTAATGAACTATCAGTCCAAAAAAGAATAGCTTCTTTAGAAAAATATAGCATTGAATGTCAGGGGAAAATAGCGGTATCATTAGCAATGATAAAAACAACAAAAACAAGCAAGAGCGTAGTGGAATGCCATCAAGTTTCACTGAGTTTAAATGGTACCAAAGCAAAGTGAAAAGCCAGTGACCCCAATCTCTGACTGACACTGATTATGAACAACATAATAACGGGGATGCAGGTTTATGCAGTCCAAATGATTATCTACACTATCCAAATTTGGCATACTTTCTAGCTCTCTGCTTTATTGAGTGGAAGAATTGGAAACTCTTTTCAATTTGGACTATGTAGATAAGAAACACAGTTAATTCAGGACCATACCACTTTATAATTAGCAACGGTTTTGTCCGGGATCTGAATCAATATGTCCTATTTATTTTGCTACTTCGACATCCATATGTGAAATTTATTTTCCATAAAACTCAATGCCTAGAGAAAGCAGTAGACAATTAGCCACTACATCTCATAAGTTGGTAAGCCTTTCTCTAAGCTTAAATTATATTAGACATTTATTTTCTTTTTTAGAATCTCTACCCAGATCAATAGACATATACCATACTATACAACAATGCATTATTGCTCTTAGACTGCTAAAATATATTGATTAATATTTTTACTCATTAGATTTTTTAGATTAGCTTGTCTTTTTATTACCCCCATGGTTTTTTTACATTATAACTCTCTAATAAATAATTAACAAGTAAATAAAATTGATCAGGAGGGATTAATAGATAAATGCAAATCATATTGGCATATGGCATCACAGGAATTCTATTTCTACTGAATTTTTCACACAATAGAGCAGTACAATCTAATGTTACAATAAATATTTTACAACAGGTTGTGTGTGTGTGTGTGTGTGTGTTATGCAAGAGGAGGGTTTGAGGAAAATTAGCTCTTAGAACCCTGAAACCTAGACTCTAAAATGTAATAAAGAATCTAACACACAGAAAACTTACTTGAGAGTTTGCTGAGAGACTACAAACCTAATATGTTATAGAGAAGATTCGTGGTCAAGTTCAGGCTGACCTTTGAGTTTGCTCTGTGTGCTTATATGACACTGTTCATTATGGAATCTAAGGTGGCAGAGTGATGGTATTCCCATAGGTATTCACAGAGAGTAGGTCAGGTGTACCTTATGGTGTTGGCACAGCAGGACCATGATCAAGGTATGCCTGTAAGCATTACATTCCAATTCTTAAGTAATTTTTCTCTGATCCTGTAATGATCCTTCTTATATATTCTAACACTTGGGGTTTTATTAACCAAAAAGGGACTCAGAAAACTAGTAAAATGGGAATCATACCAAAAAATGGAGTTAGGATTTATGAGGAGCACTTATGATTTAGAATTGGAGTGAACAATGAATCATTTACTGATAGAAGTGATTGATTCAGGGTGCAGAATAAGGCAGATGTTTTTGGATATGGCCAATGTGGAAATTAATTTTTTTTGCAAAATTTTACAATAGTTTTTTTTTAATTTTTTTCAGCAGACATGAGAGGTTGGCAGGAGAAAAAACAAATGCTTGACAATTAAAAAAAAATACCTAAGAGACCTTTCACAAGTATAACTATGTGTATATCTTTAAAAAAAACATGGAACAATTGAAATGTAGACATGAGGAAGGAGACAAAACAAATGTTAGAAAATATTTCTCAAGACAATAAAACAGGCCAAAGGATTGTAGAGAACACTAAAAAAACTTACACCCATATATCATGAAAAATGAGAACAAAGTAATGAGATATTAGAAATAGTAAACACATAATAACATGCAAAAAGATGGAATTAACTATCTTAAGAGATA